AGTCCGTGAGATCGTGATGTATCATAGCCCGACCACCGACGAGCACGATGACAAGGACGGCGCGAACGTCAATCGGAGTCATACATCTACACCTCAGTTGACCGGGCCAACAATCTGCGCTCTCCTCTTCCAGTGTCTCCTTCCCCTGAGTCCAATCCTCGTGAGACTGCGCCAGATGCAAACAAGGTTCCGAGCTGGCAGACGCCTGCTTCGGTGCCGAGAAAACCCCGCAGCAGAAGATAGAGAACCGGCAAAGGGGTGACAAGACCAGAAAGCCGATACGCACGTTGTAATCCTGCAAACAATAACAAACCAGTCAGCATACGTTCGGAGTCAAGGCAAGGAAGAACGGAATAGCGAAGAACTTGAGGAAACGATCAAGAGAGAAAGAAAGAAGCAATCTGGTCCAGCAGCCCATAAACGCCCATGGACAAAGAAGACAGAGAATCCCCTCCGACCACCTGCACGGCAATACCAAACGTACACCATCGTCGTAGTCTGTGAAACACCGGAAAAACGCCACCAATCCATCGCAAGCCACCAACACCGACTACCGATCGTCAAGCCGCGGCACCTCGCATAGCCGAAACGAAACAAAAGAGAGGCAAAGAAACCCAGTGCTGCTGGGGAGAAAAGAAGGATGTATCGACACCTCTGCGTCATAAACGAATGACACAAGAGCCGCGCCAACGCGCGGTAACGAAGACAAGGACGAAGCATATCCCCCCGATCGACTTCGTCTGCATCTTCGACGAAAGCGGGTGATGCGTCGTCATCCCCAAAGCCCGCCCAAGTGTCCCCACTGCCCGATATGGAGGCGACAAAACACGAAGGTCAGTCTGCCCGCGAGCAAATCACATAAAACCTCTCTTCAGTGGCCCCATCATCCGTCGGATCCGACAGTCGCGCGAACGGGAATCACGCGTGCACGGCGGCAGATGAGACACAAGGAGAAGGTGGGGGAAGAGAAAGTAATTGGGAGGAAGAAAGGATCTGAAGGGATGGAAAATAAAGAGGAGAAGGATAGACGTACGTTGTAGTTCTGCGGGAGATGTAGAAGTTAGCATCGTCGCAGTGATAACGGAGAAGAAAAGATAAACTCACGTTGCGGGGCTAGAGACGCAAACAAAGTCAGCATGGTGACGACAGGATGGAGGGAAGGAAGGAAGAAAGAGAAAGAAAACGATCGAGGACATAGTACCCGGCAGCCCGACGTCATCGACCGCCTCGCGGAAAGCGGGCGTGCGTCTCGCGTAACGACGTCGATCGCAACAAGGCAAGAGAAGGATATGAAATAAGAACCAAAGAACACTCACGTCTAGCCCAAGGCAACTCGCTCTCCTCGTCGTCTTCCTCGCCATACGTATCGCCACCAGCACTCTTCCCATTAACAGCAACCGCCCCAACCCCCACATCTCCCGCTGCCTTTGGCCTCCCCTCGAAACCACCCGGACTATCCGTGTTATGACCCGCCTCGAAATCGATACCGAGGTGACCGGCGCCGTCACCGCCGATGGAGAGACTGAGAGATGGAGCGTGTTGGGGAGTTTGCGTGCGCTGAGCTATTGGCGGTAGACCCGGGGAGGGGCTGCGGAAGTGGTGCGCATGGCCCTGGGCGACTTGGGCTTGATAGGCTTGAGCCGGAGTCAGGCCCTGTGCGTCGCGGGGTCGGTCGGGCGGGTGAGCGGCGACGCCGGGATGGTAGGCGCCTTGGTGGGTGGAGGGGCGGAGTGAGGGAGGTCTTCCTACATACTGTTGCTGCTGCTGAGGGTAGTAGTACTGCTGCTGTTGCGGTTGGTATCGCGGTGGGTATGGTTGTTGCTGCTGGTAGTATTGCTGCTGCTGCTGAGGAGGAAGAGGCTGCTGGGGTCGTGGTCTGCGGCCAAATATATCCTGGTACGCAGCAGTTGCTCGCGGGTCTTGCGGCTGGCGAGGCCCTAGCGGGCGGTGGTCCATCGCGGTGAGCGGGCAGAGGCGCTTGACGCCGGCAATCGCCGGAGGGAGCAATCCAAGCAACTCAATACAATGACGTAAAGCTGTAGAGAGCTAGTGATAATGTACGAAGGTGAAGGCTTATAGTGGTGAAATTGGGCCGGCGGCTCGATTCGCTGACGGAAACGGTAAAGCAAACGAAGGCGGGAACTTGTAGCGATTATCGGGCGGAAGGATTCGTAAGTGAGCTCCGAGCCTCCGACACAGCTTGAGAACATTCACAATAGCCCCGCAAGATCCTATCGATTCTTCCACTGGCAGGCCTTGGAATGTCGCCGGAAATCCGAAAAACATGGTTTCGCTCGTAACGGATCGAGATGGCGTACGGCCTTGTGGGGCCTCAAGATACTTTGCAAGGTACTCATCCATGATCCCACTGGCAGCTGAGGTTTGTGTGAGGCTTGGCGCACTTCCAATGCCTGGGACCACTTCGTGGTTCCTTCCCCTTCTCCAGTCATGTAACAAGAAATCAAATAGGTAGAGAAACACTTTTACGATGCCAGTAGATGCCAGTGTTTCTGATACCTAGAATCGATCCCTCGTACCGAACGCAAGGACTTGAGCCGAAAGCAACTATTTTGCGCCTAACGGTAGTATCCCGGTGCATCGAGTCATGATTAGATGGCTTCAGAATAGACGGCGGTGAGAATCCCCATCAACGCAAAAAGTGGGGGACAGCGCAGATTTGTGTATCAAAAAACTTCCATAGCCAATCTCGCTCGAGTGGCTTCCAAGCTCAGACTGCCAGTTGGATGTGTCTCCAGGTTAAAGCAAGCCCTGCCCAGACCGCCAGTGCAACGCCGCGAAGACAAGCGGCAAAGATACCTCAGTCCCGGAGATGTGGGTTGAGAAGAAGCCAAGCGCAAACACTCGCAAGCACATTTTGACAGCTCAACGCCGGAGTCCCGAATAGGAAGTTTCTCACAGGCTCCTGTCTTCTCCTTTCATCATTGATCTCAGCTTTTGGGCCGGGGTGTCTCAGGTGAGTCATGGGATGTATCTACCGTCTAACTAAATGCTCATCTGCTGCAATTGGACACCCAGGGCTGCTATGTCCGCCGCGAAAACGGCGACTTCTTGGCGACTTCACAAGTGACAAAAACAAGCAAGACCCGAATATATTAATACAGGATGTAAGAGCGTACGCCAGAAAGCTCCTTCGACCGGACGCCGAAAGAGTACTATTCCAAGGACCATGCCTCCGTCATCATTGACACTCACAAGTGGCAACCCAGTTTGGGTGACAATCTACTCGCTCGCGCCATAACCTCACGTCTAGACAACAGGCACGTCCAAAATACACCACAGAAATCGACCACGTCATGACTCGCTACTTTACAGCTCATCCTCAAACGCACGACATTCGCATGACTACGTACTATAAGAGACTCGATGCGGAACATCGCCGCAATCCCAAGGGCGCCGAACAGCGCACCTTCAACCTCTTCAAAAAAAATAGCAGATGCCGTCGTCGCTGCTCAAGCTCATGTCATATTATATATATTTTCAGTTGCCACACAGCCGATTGTGATATCTTATGACCCAATATTATAGAGCCTTCCCTTTTCCGAGTACACCCAAGAAATGGACGAATTGGTGGCTGCCAACTACCTGTCTACCACTCGTGAAGATTGAGAGCTCGTGTTCCGGTAAACGATTATCTCCGAGCGCGAGATGCAATTGGATGGCGCCGACGAACGGTCCCGCTAACCGCTACCGTCATGGCTCGCAACCGGCGATACCACTTGCTTGCCACTCGCACATGTAGATGGGGAGTGTATGGCGCAATAATGAAGTCAAGTAAATCTCCCATTTTTTTCGTTACTATCTGCTGAATCCATGTCCTTTCCACCAAGCAGTAGGCTGAAGTGACTTCAAGCGAGGAACGAAAGGCTTCGGAATATTGAGTTATATGCCCGCATAGGGCACGGTCAGCGGCGGCCGCCGGCGGTTTTCGTTGGCTGGCGGCAGCCAAGGGATATCATCAATCATCAAGCTTAGCTAACGTGTTCCGGCGAACAACCCGGCAGATCCATCGGCATTCGTTGGCTCTTGCCGGTTCTTGCTGGTATTCCCTGCTATACCTCATTTCAGTATTTTCTTGCTTTGGCATTTCAACTAAACGTGCTTTCTCATTCAGAAACATGTTCCCCGTCGTTATTCACCTTTCCGCCGTGAATGTAACTTTGCAAGTGGCCAGGAATTCGCTGAAATGACAATATTAATTGTTTTCACTCAACAAATAACAAAAAATTAGTCTGGGTTCTACAACATCAATTTCACGCCACAAATATGTTTGCGCACACAAATGCAATGGCCAAAATACCCTACTACTGTACTGCTGCCTCAGCACAGCGTCAACAATATTAATGAGGGCAGAGACCGGCGGACACCGCTGGTTTTGGAGTTGGTTAAAGTCCGCCGGCCTCCACTGGTTTCATCACTTGAGCAAGAACCACCGGCTGCCGTCGGTTCTGACATAACTTACTTGAGTATGTGAAGTAACTTCAGGTTGCATGTTAGTTCTCGATGTTTTGCTTATTTCCAGCACTAAATTTCATAGTCAAGTATATACTGAGAGTCTACTAGCAGAGTCGTGGTGTAGGAGCAGACTCCAATTTTAGGTGAAGTCCAGCGAAGTCCGGCGGCGGTCGCTGGATTTGTTTGCATGGAAAACCAGTGGAGACCGGCAGTTTTGCACCACATATCTGATAAGCTTTTATAATATTATCCGGTGGAGACCAGCAGCTGCCGTTGGCCCTCACTTGCGCAACAACCAACGAGGTCCAGCGGTAGTCGGCGGTGTGCGCTGAACTTCATGCCCGCAAAAGGCAATTGTTGGCAACTGATGGATGTGATGCTGGGGACCGGCGTCAATCAGTGGCGGGTGGCGGCCCGGCTGACCTCGGGTTTTCCGGGCGTATTACTGGGAATATTGAGGACACGAATGTATTCGGAATTTCGGATGGCTGTCCAATGATATACCTACATTCTGGCCTATTGTCGATGCATTAATGGGGTAGTGGTAACCTGGGTCGTTGCCATAGTACCGGGCACAATAGCTTCGACCCGCCGGGGGTTCGATTCCCCCTTAATGCATGATATAGAATGACATAACTTTTTGTTGCTGCGCTCTCTTCGGTCAACATCTCACCTTTCTCTGGTAACGAGAACCTTAACCAAAACGGCATTGTTTGTGATAAGCAGCCGCTTCCTAGGAATCCTAGCGATCATTTGCCATGAATCCGAACATTGAATGTAAGACTTTTTGTCTTACGCTGGCAGGGAACCTTACTTATCCTGATTCCTCGTCAGGGTTCATGCGGCAGGGAGCTATGTACTAGTAGTATACTGGCATTGTGAAAACCGGCTCACGTCTTTATCTATACTTTGAGCACAATGAACAACACCTGGTGCCGTATATGAACATCTCCGAGATGCCCGAATTTCAACCATCGAGCCAAAATTTACAGTGCAGTGCAATACCAAGGGAATAGAAATATGAAAATTGGATGCGGTGAGACCTATACTGACAGCTGGCCCTCCCTATGTTCACTTTTGACAGCCGCTCGAAGCACATGTCTTTTAGGGGCTCCCTTGCTTCAAGCCAATCATGTCTTCGCGCAGTCATGCCCGTGCTGTATTCCATGAGGTCTCTACACCATCTTCTCCATTCCAATTCCATAGACTCGTTGATATTCTCCAACAGCGGCAAGGCTATCCTCTCTACACCCCTGAAATCGACGAAGTGGTTTCGCGTGCCTTTCTAGGGCAGGAAACCTCTCGCGACAGTCGTAAATCTGCGTTTCGGAAAACGATCGACGCGGAACGCGAGGTTGATATTGAGGGTAGTGTCGAGCGCGCTCTCGAGAGCTTTCAAGCGAGGGGAGATGCTCTTTACGCAGGGTTAATTTTCGGCGTACGTGCGCGATCGCGACTCACTTTTTTCATTTAACAAGTCAAGTTTAAATCATTAACAAACCGAATCTTCAGCCCGATATGCCCCCACTAGACGCTACGCTCAAATACACCGACGTTGGGTCGAAGTATAGGCTGTTTTATCACCCGATGTTCCCCACATCGCCCTACCCAGCCGACGCCCCCTACATCTTCAACGTCTACATCGGGCGATACGGCCGCAGTAAAAATTCCATCTTGAACTGGAAGCAGGAGCCGATTGTTGTCAAGCAGCAGAACCTTTTTGGAGAGTGGCGGGATATGACCTGCCTTGTCGCGCCGGCATCCTCGAGGATGCGGATCTCGTTCAGAGAGTCTGAGGCCGATGGTCAGGAAGTTGTTGTTGTTCATGAATTCGTATTCCCGCCTGATCCACGGGAGAATGTTCGAGTTCATCTACTTGTATGATTTTGAAATAAATACAAGATCTTATCTTCTCCTTCAGGCTCTCCCGCGAAGCACACAACTCACACCACGCCCGTCTACGAGTTTGATTCCCTTTCCGCGTAAGAGTTCGAATAGGGCGACGGATTTGTTTTTAGCAATGTCCCGTCTGAACAACAAGAAATCAGTGTTTGTTGTCTTGAAAGGAAGAATCCCAAGAGAAAAGTGCGGAGAAAAACATAGTAATCAGATAGACGTACTCCGCAGTCGGCCACTGGATGGCGTCAAGCTGTATCTCCTCTAATGCGGGGAAATTCACGGGATCAAGCGCTTCGAGCGATTGCTCTAATCTGGGTCCTTGATGGCGGTCTCTATCAGAAATGAAGTCCAAATTAGAATCTGAAAGCAATATAATTGGAGGACAATAGGCACAGGCGGCGGATATCGAAATGAACTTTCTTTAGCGCGGCGTGCGTCTTGGAAGAGAAGAAGTCGGGGGGAACCGACTTAGATATTGAAGATGAAGTGCGAATCAGCAAAGAAACGGGAGGGAGCAGAAAAAGAAAACATACCCTCCTCTCGACCGGAAGATTTCGAGAAACTGAATGCACGCCCAGCATTTCGAGGTTTGGACAGAGATCCAATACCTTCGCTTCCATTATGAACTCCATGTTGGTCGCTACTGACAAGAGTTTATTGCCATGCTTGTTCACGAAAGTGGCCAGTAGTGGAAAGATTGAGTTTCGGTTGAAATTGAAGACTAGCTTGCTCAAAGCGGGGAGTCTGAGCACAGGTATAGTCAGCTTAGTGCGAAGAAACAAAAGGAAATTCGAAGCTACGTACTCGAGAGGTTCGACCAGATTCAGGATGGATGCTACATTGGAGCCTCCCACCTCAAGAACTTTTAAATTCTCGAGAGCCCGAAAATCTCGGTCAGGTTTCGTGAACCAGGATTTCCCGTCGATCCTCCAACGTAGATATAGGAGCACGGGAAAAGCGGCTAGAACTGTCGGGTTTGCACTAGACACCTTACCCGTGGACTGAGCATAGGAAGTGTCCACGTCTAAATCTTCTAATGTAGACGCGGCAGGGGAGGCGGCAAGCGTTTGTAACGAGACAAGGTCTCCTGCTCTGTTCAGAAATTTCCTCCTTCGTGAAGGTTCAATGTCACCCTCGTGCTCTTCCGATCCGTCCGAGGAGGACGATGGTGAGACGGGCCTCACGCGTACTATGGTGTCGCCCACGATCTGGAAGGGCGAGGGCTTCATTCTGCGAAACGTCAAAGAAAGTCATAGGATCATGGCCACGACGACGTACTCAGGAACGTCAAGTTTGCCCAAGAAACTAGATTGGGAAGCCTTGGTAATGAAATCTTCATGACCAGCCTTTGAAGTATATCTTGTTTCGTAACAGCGAAGAAGCTTGAATGACGGCGCAGTGAAGAGCTGGTCGAGAAGCGTGGGCCATATTCCGCCAATCCCAACATCAACGTATTGAATCGTGGGTGATTTTGCCAGGGCAGCGGCCAGTTGTGCTGCACGTCCAGAGACGTAGCTAGAGCGATAACCGCCAAAACTCACATAGGGAAAGACAAATGATAGCTGGAACCAATCTTTAAGTCTTTTAGACATTAGATCGGAAGGCTATTTACCAAAGTGTTCCATTTTAGGACCTGGGCGCAAAGCGCATCGAACAGTTGTGTTACCTGTTTGTTCACTCTTGGCTTTCGAGTCTCAGAGTAGTGATCATCGACCGCATCGTACAGTATGACACGCCGCGGACGAACGATAGCAAGACCATGAGACAGACTGCGCGAATCTTCGGAAGCCGACAGAATCAGAGTTAAATACAGGTCGACAATGTTGGGAGCGGATCTGAAGATGGTGAGCATAGACTTTCCGAACCCGCCCTCGATGCGGAGTCTTTTTATACAGGTCCCCATTTCAGGATTGCTCTTGAGTGCATAAGCAAGAGCTGCAGCCTGCGCTGTGGTACGCAAGATGACCGTATGGTATAGCAGTGGAGTGGCAACCTGTAGCCACTGTTTGGAAACGAGAAGGTAGGACGAAGTCGATGAGGCAGGCCGTAAGATGGGTTTCTCTGAAGTATCTGAGAAGTCCGCGTCGGAATATTTGAGTAAAGGACACAGAATCTCTAGCAAAATTTCGTGTGGCGCGCCGTCCATCGTGGTTCAGGTCAAGTGGGAGTGTGCGAAAATGCCACTGATGGCACCCGAATCTTGAACTACTCGGCAAACTCCGACAATGGTCTTTGTTCGAAGCGCTGCAGAAGGTTACAAGATGGAAGTGTTTGTTTTCATTTGATTCCAACTGAATCGGGAAGGTTGCCCTAAATTCCTATAGATCGATTACTTCAAGTTATCGGGGTCATCCACCATCCGTTTCGCAGTTACGCACCTTTCAAGTTGTTATGCTCCAGGTCACGGTAGAGATTTGCGTTGAGACCATCGCCGAACTTCAAAACCGTTGGCTTCCGAATCTTGTGAACGTTAGTGAGAATCGAGAAAACAAGCGAAAAACGCGTGATTTAACAATGGATTCATTCGCTGCTTCGGACGGGCCGAAACAGCCAATTAGGCGGTCTCGTCTCACACGACGCCTATAAAGAGAGCGGAAGTACTTCGACATTCCCCATCATCTTTCGTCTGGGCGTGGCACTGGAATTCGGATGACGCTCTTCCAAGAATTCAGTTCATTCTGCATCCCGGGCGAAAAATCGACTCAGCCGCCTCCGAAGCCGGGAATGAGAGCACCCTCATCAGACCTCCTACGACTCCCCAGTCTAGACAAACGCCCCACCGTTATAACATTTTTGCGCCACTGCGGATGCCCGTGTACGTTCCATGAAATTACGACGCAACAATCAGTGAATAGACGATACAGTTGCAGAGAAGACGTTCAAAAACTTGCGTGCAATCGCGGAGCGCATGCCAGACATCCACTTCATCGCTGTGTCGCATAGTGACCAGGCTTCAACTGAAACATGGCTCGCGGCCGTCGGCGGATCCGATCAGGTTCAAATTATCGTTGATGTCGAGCGAGAATTGTTTGGACTGTGGGGACTGCAAGTCTCAACCTTCAGCCACTTTCTGAGTCCTGCGGGTTTGTGGGCGGTATATCGCCTCGGGAACGACGAGGGAATATGGAACAGGCCGACGCAAAGCGGAAACAGATGGCAGACTTCGGGAAGCTTCGCGGTGGACAGCCAAGGTATCGTCAGATGGGGAGGAGCCATGAAAAGCGCGTCAGAGATTCCAGATTTCCAAGATGCCATTGAACAGGTGAAAGCCGCTGAACCGATGACTGAGTCGTAGCCGTAAATCGATCGTTCTGTATTTGAATTCTACAACCTGGAATATCCTGATTGCAAGTCGGAAAAACAGTCTAGATAAATTTCAAGTGAAAATTGTTACATTACCAGAGAATCACGTTCTTACTTCCCATCGGACACTAGCTTCGCCAAATCAATCGAGGCTCCTCCACTGTTCAATCCAGCCTGGATGAACGCAACGTCGCCCAAAGCGGTGAGGGGGTCACCAATATCCAGTGTTTCTTTGCCGCGAATCGCGTCAAAGAAGCTCCCGAACTCCGCCTCGACACCTATCTTCGGCTTTTCGATTATTTCTTCCACCTCTTCAGTCGGTTTTCCCTCGACCTTCACTGCCCGTTTAACCAGAATACGTAGAACCTGCCCTGTTCCTTCGACGTTGGCGGAATTGACTGTCAGCCAGCCCTCGG